TCCACCAGAAAAATACAACAAGTGCTAAAATCAGCAAAAGACAAAAGGGATCCCCTCATCGCCACAGGAGTATACTGCATACCATGCAGCTGCGGGCAAGTATACATCGGGACCACAAAACGCAGCATCCAGACCAGGATAAAGAACATGAAAGGCAAAAAACCCTATTTGAAAACAAAGAGATAGTGGACAACACCACCAGCCACTATACCAGGCTATTCAATCTGTCGTGCTATTTGCCATTATTTTTTCCCCTCTAGAATCTCATAAACCATCCCTTTGTCCTAAATAACATATTCCTTCTTATCTTTTGCCTATTAATATGCTAATCTTTGCCTGTAAGGATTGCTGACTAAAAACTGTATAGAAAGTGAACAGAATAAATCAACAGCAAAACTTTGAAATGTGAGGCATAGTTATGTTTATTTATGCTGTTCTAATTGCTTTTTTCCCCTTCAGGCAAGGCTTTTAAAAATGCTGACAAATCTTACACAGTAGCGTTTGTGGGCATGAGGAATTACTTATTCTGGTGCTTAGATTTTTGATCTGTCTCAGATATGGGGAAGTACTAAAATTGTTTTTCTTTCTTTTTTTAACTTCAGTTTTCTTTTGTGTATCACATATGCCCTGTGCATGCCAGGCAATTCCAAAATGTGACCCAGAAGCTCAGAAGTACTCAGGGGTATCTACAGAGCATGGTTAAAAAAAAAACTTAAGATGGTAGCCGTGTTGATGCAATCAAAACTGTTTTTAATGTGTGTTGTGTGTATGATGCACATAAAAAACAGATGGAGCTTCAATCAGTTTCCTACTTTCTGTTTTCTTGAATGACCTCAAATTGTGGTATGAGAAAAGAGGCAGAAGATCTTCTAATTTCTCCTTTTTCTTCCTAATTATTTTTACATCAATAAGGCCCAGATATATTGTATATTTCTCCTTACTGGAGAGTTGCTTCATCTGTTGAAAAGTGTGACGTTTGGCTTGCCACAAAACTCTGAGATGTGTCTTTTCCTCCTTACTCCTTTGGCATCTTAACTGATTAGTGTTTTTCAGCAAGCTGTGACTCAGTTGTATATGACCTTCAAACTGGTTATTTTCTGCCCCACAAAACAGACCATGTTAAAAGGAGATGTGAACTCAGGCTTAATGTACCTGAACACCTCAGTTCTTCAACCCCAAATGCCTCAAACACTCTGGAAATCTTGGCTCCACTAACTTGCATGAAATTGTATATCACCACTTTGCCCACTGTGCCCACAACGTTCAATGAAATTACATATAATTTCAAATGTGTCATTTGGAATTATTGAAATTAAATATCATTAAATATTTAGACATAAAATAAAGAATTGCAAATGCCGTCTGGCCCTGTTTTTTAATATGCTCATTGCCAATTTCTACCCCATTGGCTTTGGGCACTGAAAAGCATTTTCGTATTCACTTTCTGGAAGCAGCTGGTCCAAACTAGATGCTTCCCAGCATTTCTTATGACTATTTCTGCTGCTGCAATTCCTGCTTTGGACAATAATGCATACTGTCCATTAATATCATTAGACTAATCAGGAGTGGAGTTCCTGATGTCACGTATCACAGTTTGACAGGTGTCACTGCTATCGTTGCTACCATGCTACCACAGGTGCAGATACTCTACATGTCAGCAGCCAGTTGTGATGCAAAACACAGAAGAATTTAAGTTCCTGCACTACAGTTCCTAAGGGTTCTGAAGGAACACATACCTACTCCTATACTTTTTCAAGAGTGGGAGCCATTGTACGTTAGTAGTTAGAGTGTTTGAATGGGACCAGAGAGATCTAAGTTCTCTGTACTCAGTTATGGAGCTTGCTGGGTGATTTGGGGCCAATCCTTTTCTCTAGCCCAATTTGAGAGAACAACAACCTGTGGTTGTGATGCTAAAGAGAAGATATGCATGTCTAAGTGCAAGCCATTATCAAACCCTTGTTTTTTTCCCCCCACAGAGGAGTTGAGAAAGTTTATAATGGGCCCTGATAAAACTGGAGATACCTATTGCCACTAAGCAGACTCAACCTGTCTAACATACTGTCTTTCGCTTGTCTTCAGGATCAGTATGATCCTGATATATCCTTGTTATTTCAGCCTAATTGCAGTGTGCAGTCACTTATTATTTCAGATCTATTGTACTGACAACACATTTGCTGGACAGGAAATATAGTAAATGATTGTGCAATGATGCTGTGAATAAAGAAAAGACTCTCATAATAAAAAAAATAACTTTTCTTCAGTAACAGAATATCAAAAGTGGTGTTAAAAAGAATAACATCATAGGAATTAGCTACAATTTGCAGCTACCTTACCCTCACTATCACAGCATTCTAATATTGAAGGATCTTCACGGATGACAGTAGTTAAAGTATTAATATCCCCATTAGCTGCTGCTTGATACACCAGAGTTAGGTCAATTTCTTCTGCTGAATCGCCTATGAAAATGAAAGTTTACATTAGAATGAAGAATCCTGTCTTGGAAAGAAGGAAATAACCATGTTTAATAGTGAAACAACAATGTTTTCCTTTCAAATTTAAGATGTTTACATAACTATTGATTACTAAAGAAAAAAAAAAACCATACAAGTGTATTTCACAATAAAGCATCAACTTTCAAAGTAGCATTCCGGTAACTGTTGTTCCATTTCCTATCAAGGCTGCCATGCAAGTGCAGTGAATCATCTACTATAGATGAAGCTAAGGTGCCTCTTCATTTAGGAATCCCTTTCTGTCCCATATTTAGGTCATGTAGTATAGGTGCCAAGATCAGAAGGAAGCTATACCAACAGTAGTGAGAAGAACAAGGAAGGAGAATCCATGATCATTTGACTCCAGAGATCTTCAAACTTGGATTTCAGCACCCTAGGCTGTAATAAAGTCTGAACCATTCTGGAGTCTCCTGCTTTTCCACAAACAGAAATATTTCAGGTTCTGCCTGTTTGATTCTTTCAGAGAAATCTCATCTTCATCCACATGTTGGTTGGTTAAGCAGGTTTTTTTTCCATTAAGTCTTTGTGTCTGTTCTCTTCTTGAGCTGTTTTACTGGCCTGTGCAAAAGAAGAAGCTTAGAGAGTTGGGAGGATAGCAAACAATAGTTTGTTCCTCCTGTGATTTTTACCTCTGAGATATCCTCAAATTCTATAGCATCTGCATAGGGGAAATCGACAACAAGATTGCTGAACTCTGAGATTTTAGGATAATTCCTTTTAGAACAAAGTGGCAGGTCTGCCTTCTTTGCTATTAAATCAAAAGGTAACCTAGCAACTAATGTTTCACTTTAGAGAAAAACCAGTCCTATGTACTGTGGTCTTTGAACAATATTCATATTTAGAGTGTACTATGTGATTATCTCTTTTCCACTTGAAAGATAAACTCATGGAAGAGGAAGGAACGGGACTACACAATTGGCAATATTCACTGAATGTGCATTTTCAGGAAGCCATCTGCAAAGGATGTCTTGCTTGTGCAGGGCTCCATGCACATTGATGTTTTATGTACTTGGGATATTATGTGATTGCAATTTACAGTTATGATTGCAGGGAGCATGTTATGTATGTTGGCTTCTCCCACTGTGTTTCTGTATGCGTTAAAAACATAGGCAATGAGATGGAACCTCTTGGCATAGCACAGACCATGGTCATAGAGTGGAACAGGAGATACCCAACACCAGGTTCTGAGGCTACGTTCTTCAGCCACTTTAACAATGCAGATGCCTGTGACACGGAACATAAGCCCATCTGCAGCTAGAAAGATTCCATGCAAATGAATGTTATGTCATAGTCTCTGCTTTTTCTATGGCTGGATACTTTACTTTCTTTAAACCAGGCTTCAACTGGATGTCTCTTCAGAGGATACTTCAATATATTGTTTTTCTTTAAAGTGGGCCACGGAGTCAACCTATTTCTTAGGCCATGTTTTCATACACATTTTCAGCATCGTGAGCATATTGCAATTATCTCCTATCACTTCAATTAACTGGACAGGAGCTTTCATTAATCAGGCAATAGGGGCATGTTTGCACACAAGTATCCAGCTATGCTTCACTCTGGACCTTTAGGCAACTAGCAGCAATTTATTCCATGTGCAGAAATGATGGAATTATACAAGAATGTATTAAAACTCACTGCTGCTGATAGTGGAGTTTGTTTATTCTTTATTTTAATTAATGCAGTTCAAAATAATTTCTAATACAGTTTTTAATTTTAATTTTAGTGAAGTTTACAATGAAATGATAATGACTGATTGTTTTAGTGCCATGAAGTCAGTGTCAGCGCTTAGTACCAGATGGATTGATTCTCTCTAGAAATAATTATTAAAATACAATAATAAAAACATATTCTTTAATGAGGGAGAAGGAAACCAGAACAAGCAAAACTATTCATGCATAATACTCCCCCCAGGATGGCCATGCATCTATTTCCTGCTTTCCTGTTTTCCTGTCTTCCCATAACACAATTCTGGCCAGTGTAACAGTCCAAAAGAAAAAGGGGGTGCTTGCAGAAAGCTAATGTCTAAACCTAACAGGAGGAATGAGTTAAATCTGTCTTTAAAAAAAGAGGGGGGGAGGAGGATACAAAGACACCATTATCGTTTATTAACGTTAGTTACTGGCCTTTTAGAAATAGATATGAAGGCTAGCAGAACCATAGGTAAAACTCTGAGATCAAGGGCTGTTTTGCACAAGATGTATTCCCTGTGAAAAATATCTCCTTTGTGGCGTTATAGGGAAAGGGGAGCAGGATTAATTAAGGATGACATCACTCAATCAGAATCCACATTTAGCATTCTTGGACACCTACACAAGATTAGAGTGACCTGAAGAGATCCACTGTGGGTGACAGCTTTAGGCCTCTCACTTTCCCAAGGGTCTGACATATTTTCCACAATGACTTGGAATTATTCTCCAAGAAAAATATAGATCATAGTTCTAACCTGTTGGCACATTGTTCAAAGCATCATTGTTACTTTTCTCTGCCACTCTGCTGGTAAGTCTACCAGGCTCTCGATGAGGGTGCTATGGCAATGGCTTTCTCAATGCTCAATCTGTTCTTGCTGCTCTCGTGCATAATAAGATTCAGAAAACCCCCTCACCATGTGTATAACTGCTTGTTCAGTGGTCAGGAATCTGGATTGTATAGTCTTACATGTTTTGGATGTGTGGGGCCCTTAATATGAATGTATGGAAATCAGATGTATAAGTTCTTAATTGCTATTCATACCCCCATCGCTGTCATTCCATTATTCATATAACATCAAACATGGAGCTTCAGGAGAGCGTTTGGTGATGTTGAGGATTAGCCTACTCCGTCTGAGTGGACCATGAGAATGTCTTGCTTGAGCAATATCAATGTTTATGTTTTAAACCTTATGATTCTTGGTGGATATAAGCCACTGAGAGCCTCAGGAAGTAAGTGGTATAAAAGCCATAGAAAAATCAAATAATAAAATAAAATAGGAGTGAAGTTTGGGTGCAGTAAAAAAATTCATGCAAACTGCATGGCCACCACATATTGTTATTTTGTATACATTGGCTTTACACTGGCTTCACTGCATGTAATACGCAGGTATTGGTGAGCCATGAAAAAAACACCAGCATAAAACTGGGTGCAGTGAAGGAAACATTGAAGTCAATGAGGTACAGCAGGACGGTGGGCCGTGCAAAAGATTGGCTTCTCTAACTTGCCTTTCTCTTTGAATACTCAAGAGAGGAGATTTGTGTTTAAAGAAAACAACAATAACATTTACAAATGTTAATCCATGTGTCCAATTCTGTTATATGAAGTTTTTGTTGAATAGTTGGGGAATTTATAAAATGAGAGTTTGTTTAATTGATAAAATCAAAAGTGGAGGGCCACTTGCTAATTACATCACTGGTCCAAGAACTCTTCTCTGCTTTTCAATTATATAGAAGCTGCTTTTAATTACTCAGTGAGTGCATTGGGTACACACACTGCATATGGTCGTCTTTGCTAAGAATGGGGACACTTCCCTTTCTGAAACTGGGAACAGAGAAATCTTTATCAAGTTTGTCAATTTCCTTTTAGTGTGTGACTGGCTGTATCTGGAGACAAGGTCCTAGTCTGCTAACATTGTAGTCTATGTAATTACCTTGGTGTGATCCAGTGATTCATATGCACACTTGTTCTTTACTCTTAGCCATGAGAAGTCCAAAACCTTGATGAAATTGCCCTTTTGACCAAATTAAATGGAGAAGACTTGGAATTGGAGGATTCCTGAGGGTGCATATCAGCAACTAAATTAATAGAGTCTACAAGCAGTAGCACCAAAAACAAGAATATAGATAAAATAATAAAAACAAGAAATGTTGAAATGGCAGGGAGAAGGGGGAATTATAAAGATAGTTAGAGCAATGTCAGTCTGTAATGTTACTTCACAGTATAAATCTAATCCTTTGATTAGTATAAGAAGTCATATGAAAAGTTAAAAAAGAAATAGAATTGAGCATTTACTATAGACAATTATAAAGACCTTAAACAGAAAATTGAAAAAAAAAAAATCACCTCCCACTCCTGAGAGATTATTACTACATCCATGTTAATTGTTCCAGAAAAAAAGGTATGTATGCTTATTTTAAGAATCTTATTTTAATACAAACATACCCAAATAGCTGCTTTAAAAATTTTTTTCAAAGAAATAATGTCTTCAGCCCCAAATTTTTCTATTACTTTTATTTTGTAGTTTTATAATCATTTATTTGGATCAGGAAACACAATTGATTACTTATGACAAAACATGGGAAGCAGGCTTTGAATGGGACAGAAAACCATAGATCAAAGATGAGAACAAATGTCAGGCACAGACAGGTGTCGCCCCCCCCCACCCGAATAATACACGTTTCAATTAACAATTTATGTGGTAGACTTAAATAGCTGCTTTTAAAACAGACTGCAGAAAGAACCTGCTTGCTAGCTGACAAGGCCTATGGAGGATCATGTCGAAGTTTGGCTGCCTTGCCAAATTCATTCAGATGGTACGCCAGTTCCGTGATGGCATGATGGCCAGGGTGCGGAGAATCCTCTAAGGCATTTCCAGTTACTAAAGACGTCAGACAGGGTTGTGTGCTTGCACCCACACTGTTCAGCATGATGTTTACTGCCATGTTGAGTGATGCCTTCCGGGATAGTAATGCTGATATCAACCTCAAATACAGAGTGGATGTGAAGCTCTTCAACCTGAGAGACTTCAAGCTCTCACCCAAGTGAAGGAAACTGTTCTGAGAGACTTCCTCTTTGCTGATGACTGTGCTTTGAATGCTGGCTCAGAACCAGAGATGCATATCAGTCAGGAATTCTCCACAGCTTGTGGCAACTTTGGACTCAACATCCAAAAGACTGAAGTCATGCACCAGCTTGTTGCTCATGCACCATGCACAGAATCCAAAATCACTGTTAGAAACTACAGGCAGTGGACTAGTTTAATTACCTTGGCAGTACCCTCGCCCAAGCAGTGGCTATTGATGCAGAAGTTAACTGCAGAATAACAAAGATGAGTTCTGCTTTCGGTAGATTATGCTCCACTGTGTGGGAATGTCGAGGAATCAGTTCAGTAACAAGACTGAAGATCTACAGAGCCATAGTACTTACTATTCTTCTGTATGCCTGTGAAGCGTGGACTGTGTATCGAAGGCATGCAAGACTGCTGAACCATTTCCACATGACTTGTCTTCACAGGATATTAGGCATCAGATGGTGAGACAAGTACCAGACACTGAAGTTTTATCTAGAGCATGTCTACCCTCAGTCCACACATTGCTGATGAGAGCACAGACCTGGTGGGCAGATCATGTCACTCATATGGCAGACGAGCACATACCAAGCAACTCCTTTTTGGGGAACTCTCTGCTGAAAGCTGATCATATGGAGGGCAGAAGAAATGTTTCAAAGACACCTTAAGGCCTCCCCGAAGTCGCTTGATATAGACATGACCACCTGGGAAATGCTGACGCAAAACTGTCCTACCTGGCATGGTCTCATCCACAAGGGCTGTCAAGCTTATGAAGTAAGGCGCACTGCTGAAGCACAACATAAGTGTGAGCTGCATAAGACCACCACTAGTGCAACAACTGCAGTGCTTACACATGTCTGTCTAACATAGGTGAGAACATTTTGTGTCTGAATTGGCCTGATCAGTCATCTTCGGTCACACCATGTCTAGTCTTAACGTGATAAAAATTAAAAACAAAACAAAACATGGTGTCGAGGTCTTCATTGATGACGATGGATGAACAACATGCTCTTCACTCTTAGCCATGCCATGACAAGTCCAAAACCTTGCATGAAATTGCCCTTTTGACTGAATTAAGTGGAGTAACCTTGGAACTGGAGGATCCCTGAGGGCGCATATCACCAACTAAATTAATAGTCTAGAAGCAGTAGCACCAAAAATTTTCATAGTAGAAATCTAATCCTTTGATTAGTATAAGAAGTCATATGAAAAGTTAAAAAAGAAATAGAATTGAACATTTACTGTAGACAATTATAAAGACCTTAAGCAGAAAATTGGGGAAAAAAAATCACCTCCCACTCCTGAGAGATTGTTACTACATCCATGTTAATTGTTTCAGAAAAAAAGGTATGTATGCTTATTTTAAGAATCTTAATTATGTATTTTAATACAAACATACCCAAATGGCCACTTTAAATAATTCTTCGAAGAAAATAATGTCTTCAGCCCCAAATTTTTCTATTACTTTCATTTTGTAGTTCCATAATCATTTAGGTGGATCAGGAAACACAATTGATTACTTATGACAAAACATGGGAAACAGGCTTTGAATGACACAGAAAAGCATAGATCAAAGATGAGAACAAATGTCAGGCACAGGCAGGTCCCCCCTGAATAATACATATGTTTCAATTAACAATTTATGTGGTAGACTTAAATAGCTGCTTTTAAAACAAACTGCAGAAAGAACCTGCTTTAAAAATCAACAAGTCCAGAAAACCAAATTGGACGATCTGACTTGAAATTCATGCTACCCCAGATTTCCCCCATGCAACGTAGAGTTTTCTGTACTGTGTTCATGAAATACAACTACAGGATAGGAGGCATGTATTCATGAATGAATCCTAGCATGAAAAACAACTATCTTACCTTTCTGACGATCAAACACTGACGAAGTGCTAAAATCCATGACTGATTGCATGTTTTCCCCTAGCCTTTGAAATCCCTAGAGCCAGATTTTGTTAGTAAACAACGCATGTCTAGCAATTGCTGTCGCCTGTCTCCTTCCTTGATTTAAATCTGCCTTCCTAATAAAGACAAAAATGGGAACCTTATCCTCCACGGCTAACAGATCCAATTAAAAAGAAGTCTTGCAAATAGCCTAATGCATTATAGTTTCAAGCATTTTTACTCCTTTGCTTAAGAAGGGGTCTGCTGGTAGTACAGCATCAGCTCTCAAAACGCTGTATTTAAACTGCAATCTCTGTGGATGAATGAGAATCCACAAGATCAGACCGAGCATGTGCAAAGCTTGCAATGCCATTTAAATACTAATGTGGTTATTACAGAGATAATGGGGTATGTGTGGTGGCAAAAAGAGTAAAAACCCTCTCTCAAGATTATCTATCTATCTATCTATCTATCTATCTATCTATCTATCTATCTATCTATCTA